ATTAAAAAAGCAACAACAACAAAAAACACAACAACAAACTTGACTTGCCTCAAATCTCTGGGTAGTGTTAGGACCACAATTCTCATGAATTTCCATCCACCTGTTGCAAGATATACAGCAAAAAGTGCACCAAGGGTCATCCACAACCCCATGTTGAAGAACGTATAGAATACACTACCCAGAGCAATGAACAGCGACAGTTTGGCTAACATTCTGTACCCTATGTAGTAGACAAGCACGGTGTATCCGAAGTCTACTGCTGATCGCAAGCCTCGGGCGAGTCTAAATTCAGCAGACTGAAATCGGATCCGCATTGGACCGAGCTGTCAACGTCACACAGCTGACACCTTAAGTCACCTATCAGTGTGTAAAGGGTCTTTGCATCCAATCTCGTTCAGTTTGGATCAAAGGTCACTTGCTCCTCATGAATAGCAACACATCACAGTCACAGTGGGTCATCAGGCCCTCTCACCTCTTACCGTGTTGTTTCTTGCTATCACACACTCCCCGCTTGGGTGGTTACATGCGTGAACTTTGCACCCAAAAAACTTTCAGTTTCGTATAAATATTATTTCGAAATCATATCTCCGTGGAATTGTATTATCATTTCGCACTAAATGTACCTTTTCCCTTACAAAGTTACAATAAGAATAAAAGTGCATGCAATTCGGTTTGGGTGACTTTTAGATATTTTCCTTTCTTTTCTCATGATGTCTGTAATAAGAGATTACAAAAGGATCCTAGATTTTGAGGAGGCTAAACGTCGAAACTGTTGCTATGCAATTGTTTACAAGAACACGGTATTACTTCCGGGTGACTTTCGTTCCGATGCAAGACATACTATTGATCTTAGTGAACTGATGCCTGCTTGTTTTGTCTATCGACCTAGGTTTTGTTCAAACGTTGGGTTTCAAAATGGGGTCTCTTTCTATGTCAGATGTGTACATAAGCCACCATATAGAACAAAGACTTGTAACGGCATCTGGAATGGGGGATATTTCAACTGTGAGGAAATTGTTAAGAAAGAACATCCCAACAAGTATAATGGACGAGTATGGCAGGACAGCTTTGCATGCTGCAAGTTTAGGTAAGTCTTCAAGGTACCTTTTATGCAATGTACTGAAACATCCCATCCTCCGATGTCGCGAAAGTTCCGTAGTTACTACTGATTAACATTCATGCTTTCTTATCTCCTG